ATATAGTTTCACATTTTTGCATTTCTGTATTCAGCCCATCGTTAATTGTGTTTGTTGTCACTTAGTCTTCTGTCACTGTTTCAAGGCAAGGTTGCTTATTAGAATTTTGTCCTATCAGAGCCTCTAGAAGGTGCGCTATTTCAATACTACAGTTAAAATGTTAACCTGCAAAGAAGTGTTGATACCAGTGGGGTTAATTTTTTCATACTCACACATTGAATGTGTTGTGGCCCGCTTAAGGCAGCACACAGAAACTTTTGGTATACAGTAAAACCCTATGACTCAGAACCTGGATTTTAAGAGCCTGTTAGGCAAAAATGAGCCAGTTAAGCCCCCCCTCTACACTGTATATAAGAACCTGTTTAGCCTAAAATTTGAAACAGATTCTTATCTAATTATGGAAAAAATTCTGTACACTTAGGTAAATATCAGATAAGTCAGCATTCAGAATTTTCTTTGGAGACATAGGTGCCTTGTCACTCCAACTGAAATTTATATGCCAGTGAGGTCAATGCTTTAGCTCCTTATCTGGTCATTTTTACATAACTTCTAATTTGGTATGCAATTTTTTTTTTTTCTTGGGAGGGTGTCTGTACAAACTGTCGAGGCCACCACATTGTCACTGCATGACCATTGTGTGACATAGCATCTCATGAGAGAGTTAAACATAAACTCATCTGAACATTGTACCCTTTTGAAAGACTTTCGTAACAAGAAAAATGAGTACCATTTTTAAATCGAGGCTGTAACTTTTCAAATTCCACCATTATGAATCAAAGTAAGCAAGTTAGCCATTCTAAGCAGGTAACAATAAACATCATTTTCACGCACCCCTGCCCCAATCCCTCTCCCCCCCAAAATAAAGTGTGACAGTATTATGTGACTGATTTGACCTAACCAGAAATTCCAAAAATTATTGTCGTTCTATGGGTCATAAAACACTATTAATTAATGAGCAGTACATTTCTCAATTCTGGTTCTTAAAACTAACAAAGCAAATTAAATGTAGGTTTCATTTTTGTTTGATATTGCATTTAAAGACTTTCTAACTGTCCTAGTAAACATATATATAAATTGTTTTTGGACGTGGTGATCTAGAATGAGCAAGGAATGGCATTTCATATGCAAAGCAAGAATTGCAATAAGATAAAAAGAGACATTGGTCATCACATTTTAAACGTTTTAAACTTCAACATAAAGCAATGACAAACCTAAAAGCAACCCATCCTACCATCGTTTGTAAAATGCACTGAAAAAAAGTGCCAATGATAGCTTGAGAGACATCTTTATTCAATGGATGTACACACACACACACACACCCACACTGGAGCTCAACACAGAGAGAGATTTGCAATCACGTTTTGGAAGGGAAAAAACTCATCAAAAGGTTTAAACTTCAACAAAAATTAAAGTAAGAAAAACCACAAAAGGTACTCATCATAGCATCTTTTGAAGGAGACGATGAAAAAGCATATTACGCTATCTTCAAACACGTCTTCATTTAATCGCTGCCTTTGCTTAATGTGCTTTATAGTTAATAATTTATAGTGTTTATCACCATAACTAAAAACAATGAAAATTTTCTTGGGAGTTTTCCCTTACATTTGTCTCATAGGTATTGATCTGAAATAAGGTCTAGGGTCGATCAGGATTTGGTGAGCAAAACAACACAGCCCCCCAACATGAAGTCCCAGGAATACTCCCCCCCCCCCCGGATTTGTCAGTAGTTAATAATAATTATTAACTACTAACTTATTATTGATAGCGTACATTTTGTGAACAGGAAATCCCGGAGGGGAACTGCCTTACGTTTGCCTAATAGGTATTGGTGTGAAATAGGTCTAGGGTCAGGATGTGAAGAGTAGACGTCACACCCCCACCAGGAATTGCTAGAAATACACACGGGAGAAAAAATTGAAGGCATTTTATGAACTGGGCCCGCCTTTTAGCAAGCCAGTTAATAATAAGCTGACCCACTATATACTCTTAGCTGTATTGCATTTTTTTTCTGAAGAACCTAAATAGCCTTAACTTGTGCTAACTACACGTATATGTACCATTTCTATAAGAACCTTTTTAGGCTAACTCTGTCTCGAATATAAAACGCAAAAACATTGTCCACAAAATTTGAAAGGTGCTAAAACCGACACCAGAAGCCTATTACCCTCTGAAGCTTTCTGTAAACTAGCTTACAAATCATGTCTAACCCAAAGCACCTCTATCCCTTGCAAAAGTTAGGAAAAATGGCTGGCAGACTGCAACTCTTGTGACTTTGACATGATTGATTGGGGTAAGTCATGTACCCTTGCTTTTCTATATACCAACTAATCTAAATTACGTGTTTTTCAATTTAAATTTCTGCATAGAAAATTGGCAACAAACTGTTTCCTTTTAAAAACTGGAATCAAATCTAATGATCAATGCAGTTTCTGCAAAGAAAGTGCGGAAACTCTTTTGCACCTCTTTTGAGAATGTTCTTTGGTTAAATCCTTTCGGAATGAAATTGGTAACTGGATGAAAAACAGCTCTTGCTTTCTTAGCAAAGAATTCTCCGTTTTGTCTTGCATAGGCCTAGTGAACGATACTACAAACCTGCTTTTCCATCATGCACTTTTAATCGCGAGGTGTCACATCTATTTCTCCAAACAAAAAGGCCGTAACCCTTCATGGGAACTCTTTTTTCAAACCATTCTAAATTGTCTTGATTATGAAAGATGTTATGCCATTATATAAAACTGGGATTTTAAGAAAATTCAATGCAAAATGGGGAGCATTTATCTGGGAAAATGATCTTTACTCTTTATTTCCTTTGTCGAGATGTGCAGAGAACAGCAATCATGCTAACTCTCCAGAGGCTCTTTTGATGTTCCTAGGCGGATAATCAGTAAATGTGCGTAGTGCGTGTGAGTGCATGTGTGTTTGTGGGTGCGCATTAGTATGCAAGAACTACTTAATAAGTTACTTTGGCTACTCTGTATTATAGATCTGGATTGTTTAAGTAATAATTAGTGTATAGTAGCAATGTAATCATTTATTTATATGCTTTGTAAGTATAAATGTAAATCAGTGATGCCAATAAATAAATTTTAAAAAAAGCTTGGAAAAATCTAGGTTCTTATTTGTGGGGGAAGTATACATTGCCATTCTTAGAGTTATCAATGTTGTGAACTGTCATGCTGTACAGCCAGCTCCTATATCCATCCAAGACATGTGATCCTTGAATCACTAAGTATCAGATAAACAAGGGTCAACAAGGTGTATTATGGGTAGTGTGAAAGAGGCAGTGTGTAAAAAGGACTTTGATATCAAACAATTATTTTTAAATAATGTACAAATGTAGCAACTGTGCATGCTGAAGACCTGACACAAATGTAGTCATACAGTGTACAAGAAAAATCTACACTGCTTGGTTTGGTCTGTTTTATGAAGAATAGTGCACTGCTAGAGCACCACGTTACAGCTGAATTTAATGCTAAAATGTAGATTTTTCAATAGGTGAGTTGAATAGAATCCACTCTCCTTCCCTGGTTAAAATAATATCCAGTATTACAATTCGTCTCCTTTTTTTTTCTGTAACCTACACTGTAGCCTCCCTCACAGTATTTTAGGCGAGTTGTATATCCTCCCTTCCCACAGAATGCCTGTTTACTGACATCAACATTTCTAATTTCCAATTTTTTTATTCGTGTGGTATATGTAACCAATCAACAATGAGAGGTATTTTGTTTAATTTTTCCAAACTTCTGCCTTAAGAGTTGTAGGCACTGTGTAGTGGGAAAAAAGCAATTACTCTACTAAGTGTGACAAACTCCTTTTTTAACTTTAATTTTTTTATGTTTCCTTTATTTAAAGTGGAATTGTATTGACAGGAATTCTGCCAAATTTCGTCAGATTCTAATGAGCAGATGTTGATATTTTGTCAATTGCTAACATAGCCTATGAAAGTCAACAAGAGCACAGTGTATGTACAGTATGCCTAAAACTCGTGCAAGCACTGAGATCACCACATGATATGACAAAGTGATGAAAACTGAATAAATTTGTTCTGACAATTTCTGGGCATTTTTCTCAGCTTGCCCTCAATTTTTTTCTTGAAAATCACATTAGCTTCAATGTTCTCTTGATAAAGATGTATCAGGGAGTTTTTTAGTGCATGCAGCTTTATGTAATAGAAACTGCATGTGCTCAACTTCCTGTACTAAAAGCTTAAGAAACTCAATTCACTAAGACTTACAGTTCACACAACAAAGCAAACCTCAGCATCAAAGTCTAGACACACTGGGTTCTTATACTTCTTAATATACTACTGAAGTTCAGAATTAAATAAAGACTTCTGCCAATTGCTGCTTTGTCCTGATAGCACAAACTCGCATCTTGTCATTATTATTTTATCACGAGGCTATCTTTGCTCATTTGTATACTACTGTAGACGTTTTCTGTAACTGTATAGACCATGAGTAAACATTCTCTCATCCATGAATTTTAGAATGTTAATGGAAAAAAAACAATTCTTGAGTTATGTTTTCTTTTTATTTTCATTTTTTGTACAGGCATGAAAGAAAACCAGGGATTAAAAGAAGCAAACAATGTAACGCCTTCCCAGTTGTTTTGTTTAACACGTGACCCGGTCACGCGCATCCGGGTTTTCAGTTTTTTGTAAGCTCGACTAGAGAGCGGAGTGTTTTTGGCAACGTCGCCCAACGCAGTTCTTTAGGCTTCGCACGAAGCATGTTGTAATAGCCATTACAGTCTTTGACGGTCCCTTCGGTCCGTTAACATCTTGTGAACCAGCATTAAACGGAACTAAGGATCTTGTTAGACGTTTTGGTCATTGTGGAGTGAACCTTTCAGAATTTCTGCAACGCATGTTGCCCTCGCGCCGCCTTCACCCAAAAGCGGTCGCTACAGTCAAAGACTCGTATTTACCTCAAGGAACTTTGAAGACTCCTGTTTAATCTGAGGAACTCCAACGAATTGTATTTACGCCGAGGAACTTTACCATGGATTCAGCAAAATTCGATGATAAACACGAGGATACCGGACTCGGGCTAACCTTCGTGTCGAGACCAGAGGAATTTCTCATCGAGAAGAGCGCAAAAAAACACACCTCAAGCCCAGCTCACGAAGAAATCGTCGACTCAACAAAGACTGAGGTTAGCTCATCTGTTATTTTACCGGATAATGTGTCTTTACGTCCAAAAATAGAGGAAATTTCATCGATTACAAATGCCGACATTATTGTCGATTCGAGTAACACTAGGCCCAGGACCCTCACGGCCAAAGGGCGGGAATACAAATGTGGCTTGAAGAGAAGCGCTGCGATAGATAACGACCGTCAGTTTCGCTCTAAATTAGACACTTTTAAAGAGCAAATCCTCTCAGGCAAAGATCCTAAGGAAATTAAGGAAGATATTTCAGCTTTGATCAAGGAGTTAGACATTGTCTTACAAAGTTTTGACCAATGGATAGAGCTATCAGATGATTCGGATGAAACTCATCAGGCCACAAGTAAACAAGCTTATTTGCTTGACACATGGAAAGCAGTTCATGATACAGCCGTGAAAGAAATTGACAAATTACAAAATGATGCAGCCTCTATCACATCTCAAAGGTCCCACCGTTCACGAGTCTCGAAAGGGTCGGGATCAAGTAGAAGTTCTTGCAAGGAGACCCTGCTTGAATTTCGAGCTAAGAGAGCAGCCCTAGAAGAAACGTTGAAGTTTTCAGCAGTTATTGCCGAACAAAAACAGAAACTGGAACAGTTGAAAATACAAAAAGAACTTGGAGAAGTCACTGCACAAGAGCAAGTCTACCAAAAAGCAATGCAAGAAGAAAACTGTCTGCAGTCGCCTGCACTGCCGACAGAAACCTATGATCCAATTTCCACCTTTATTGCCAGCAATAATGCTGACGAATATACGTCTACACCGGGTGCGCCTGCTACAACGCTCTTTGACACTAGAACACCAGTGACTAAAGTGACAGTGACGTCATCGTCCACACCACTTGACGTTGTATCTGTATCTTTGAATCAAGGCCCTCAAGGATCAACCAATCGAATCTCACACTCTACCACTGCAACCACCTTCAGCTTAAGAGGACAAGCTCCTCCAGTTTACACATCGCCTGCGTGTACTATGTCCCAAATTGGACTCACACCTCCAAGAGGTTTTTGCGGAAATTTTCCAGCGTTTGTACCATCGTCATATACAGCCTACTCCCCTGCACCCCAAGATTATTCAGTGCAACTAACTGACACCCTAGCCAAGATCAGTCAGCTACAACGCCTCCCTCAAGCCACGCCAGATGTTTTTAAGGGTGATGAGACTGACAAGACTAAATTCTTCCTGTGGGAGAATTCTTTTGATAGTCTGATTGATTCAGCACCAGTGACAGCCCAACAGAAACTACACTTCTTGTACCAATATTTGGATGGCAAAGCCAAAAAGTGGTAGAGCAGCTTCAGTACTTAGTGCAGAACCCTGAAAGTGCGTATCAACAAGCCCGCACAATCCTCAAGGAACGTTTTGGCCACCCAGCAATAATCAGTACCAGTTTTCAGAAGAAATTAACAACCTGGCCAAAGGTGGGACCGAACGATGCAGCAGCCTTAGAAGAATTCAGTGACTTCCTTCAACAGGTGAAGATTGCAAGCGAACACATTTTGAGTCTCCAAGTCCTTAATTACCCGTCACAGATTCAAAGTCTTGTCGAAAAGCTGCCATCGTGGTTCAAGCCCAAATGGTCTGATAAAGTGCTGAAACTTCAGAAGAAAGAAGGCAAGGACACATTCCCTTCATTTGCAGACTTCGCTCAAGAAGTGCGTTACCACGCTGAGCGTGTCAACATACCTCAAATTGTTCAAGCTTCAGGTTCAAGTGGTACACCACAGACAGACCGTTTCAAACCTTTGAACCGCCAACCCCGCCTGCGTCCTCCAGCTGTTAATCTGACCTCCACTTCACCCCCAGTAACAATGGCGAGACAAATGCTAATCACGAAGAACCAATAGAAATCTCCAATGTGCTTTCAACCCATGCTCAGCAACCGGACACTACCAAAGCTACTGCGGCTAACACGTATTGCTTCTATCACAAGATGAAGTCTCATAGCATGAACGATTGCGAACAGTTTCAGAAATTAGGATACGAAGAACGCAGAGATTTCCTAATGAAAAACAAAGTCTGTCTCAAGTGTGTTAATTCCAACAAACATGTTGCCAGAGACTGCGAACAAGACAGGCTAGATTGCAAGATATGTCGACAGAAACATGCCACTGTACTGCATGACCCATCCAGGCACAAAGTGATTAATGCCAGTGAAGCGAGGTCTGCTTGCTCACGAGTCTGCAATCAAGGGCATTCTGCTCGTTCATGCGCTAGAATAGTTCTCGTCGAAGTCTTCCATCAAGACAACCCTTCAGCAAGGATGCTGACCTATGCAGTTCTGGATGACCAGTCAACAGATGTCTTCATCACAGACACTCTTCTCGACCAGTTGCAGGTCAAAGGCCAGGAAGTTAACCTCAATATCAGTACGATTGCGGGCGTGAACACTGTGCGTACTCAGAAAGTAAACGGATTGCACATCAAGGACACAGACAGTCGACACAATTCTATTAGGATTCCGTTTGCATACTCACAAGAGAAAATTCCAGCTAGCCATCAGGACATCGCCACGCCTAACATTGCCCAACTCTGGCCGCACCTTAAGGAGATCGCCCACCACATCCACTATCATCCCGGAGTAGAGATAGGATTGTTAATCGGTCGTAACATCCCATCTGCCTTTCAGCCATTACACGTTATATACGGCAAAGACAATGAGCCGTGGGCTGAAGAGTACAAGTTCGGCTGGACGATCATCGGTCCAGTTTGTCTAGACAACCAACAAGACAGTACGGCTTGTGCAACAGTTAACCGCATCACCGTACGACGAGAAGATTCTCACAACCTCTTCAATGTTCCAACGAGCAACAGTTCCAGAGAAGAGGCCGTAGCCTCTTTCGCTTCCAAACATCAATCTAAGGATGTCACTACGCCCCAGCAGATAAGAGAAATGATGCAATTGGATTACAGTGAACTACATCATAGCCGAACCATCCGAGGCACTGAGAACACCGAGTCTGTCGAGGACAGACGTTTCAATGATCTTCTTACCACAAGCATCCATACAAATGAACTGGGCAATTGGGAAATGCCGCTACCACTGAGGACAGACAAGTTGAGTCTGCCGAACAACCGAGAACAATGCCTAAACAGGCTACTAGGCATAAAAAGAAAACTTCTCAAGAATGGCAAGGTTTTGAAGCAATATACTGAGTTCATGCAGAAAATGTTTAACAAGAACCACGCCAGTCTCGTCCCATCAGATCAACTCAAGACTGCCACAGGAAAGGTGTGGTACTTGCCTCATTTTGACATTTATCACCCCAAGAAACCTGACCAAATTAGAATCGTTTTCGACTGCAGTGCCATCTTCCACAACGAGTCTCTCAACAAACATCTGCTACAGGGCCCTGACATGATGAATGCCCTCGTTGGTGTGCTCTCGCGGTTTCGAAAGGAAGAGACAGCAGTGACATGCGACATTGAACAGATGTTTCATAGTTTTCACGTCAGCCCGGAACACAGAGACTTTCTACGATTTCTGTGGTTCAAGGATAACAACTTAGAGAGTCAAATCGTAGAGTACAGCATGAACGTCCACCTTTTCGGGGCAGTCTCCTCCCCAGGAGTTGCTAATTTCGGTCTCAGAATGACAGCAGAAGCCGGCAGAGAACAGTTTGGCAATGAGGCCGCAGACTTCTTGAAGAACGACTTCTACGTAGATGACGGGTTGAAATCTTTCGCCACACCAGCTAAAGCAATCAATGTCATCAAGAATACCCAAGCCATGTGCGCAGCAGTCAACCTACGCCTGCACAAGTTTGCCAGCAACAGTGAGACTGTGCTGGAAGCCTTACCTGCTGAAGATCGTTCCAAGGACTTGAAGGACCTCGATCTACGTCACGATGTCTTACCTGTCCAACGATCCTTAGGTACCTATTGGTGCATCCAGTCTGATACCATTGGTTTCGAATTGAGCTCAAGGACAAGCCTCTCACCCGTCGCGGAATTCTATCAACTGTGAGTTCAGTTTATGATCCGCTTGGTGTCATTGCACCTGTCATCTTAGTCGGAAAACAGTTGCTCCAAGAACTGTGCCGCGAAGGCATCGACTGGGACGACCCAGTTCCTGCCCACATCCGTTCACAATGGGAAAAATGGAGATCCGAACTACCTCTTGTGGAGACGATCAAGATAGCAAGGTGTCTCAAGCCACCTGATTTCGGCGAACCAGTTGCCGTGGAGTTACACAGCTTCTCCGATGCCAGCAACACAGGCCTCGGCCAGGTAACCTACCTACGTCTTGTAAACAGTTCAGGCCAAGTACATGTCAGCTTCCTGATGGGCAAAGCTAGGGTCGCGCCACTAAAGCCAATGTCAATTCCACGCCTTGAACTGACCGCCGCCGTGGTTGCTACTAACGTAGCCTCCATGCTCAGCCAAGAGCTTAACTACAGTAACCCAGTGAAATTGTTTTACACGGACTCTTCCGTCGTTCTAGGGTACATTCGAAATGACGCGAGACGCTTCCATACGTACGTCGGAAATCGTGTTCAACACATCCGCGACAGATCAAACCCACAGCAGTGGCATTACGTTAGCAGTCCGAACAACCCAGCTGATATCGCGTCAAGAGGTGCCACCACCAAAGAGCTTTCTGAACACGAACTATGGTTCAATGGCCCTGAATTCCTATGGGAAAGCGAAGTACCGGTGATCAGCCTAGACCAAGTTGCGGATCTACAACACGAAGACGTTGAAGTGAAGAAACCTAAGTCCACCGTCTGCATTTCAAGCCATGAAGAAACCAAAAGCGAGGAGAAGGAGAGCTCTCACAGTATTCTAGAACCAGAACGCTTTCGCCATTCATCTTCCCTCATTCGCCTAAAGAGGAGCATTGTGCGCATCCAGAGAATGATAGAACAGAGACGCCCTAACAGGCAGTTCAACACAAGGCCCAACACCGGCCCCCTTCAGTCGAAGAATTACGCTTAGCAGAAGAAGTAATTCTCAAGTCAGTTCAGTTCGAGCACTTCGGCAAGGAGATCCAAATCCTTCAAAATGCCAACCACCAAGATGGTATGTTCCAGGATCGCCACAGTGCTCATACCAGGAACGAAAACGATCAAGAAGACAAGTTCTCTCTACAAACTGGACCCCTTCTTAGACAGCAAGGAATCCTCAGAATTGGCGGACGACTCCTAAAAGCCGAATTAGATTATGGCATAAAACATCCGATCATATGTCCAAAGAGGAGTCACGTGACGAATCTCCTCATCCGACACTTTCACAGCAAAGAGCACCACCCAGGTTATGGGATGACCCACAACTCCATCAGGCAAGCAGGTTATTGGATTGTGAACGGTCGTTCTGTTGTCTCCCATCTCCTGTCAAGCTGTGCCATTTGCCACAAATTGCGCGGACGAGCACAAGTCCAAAAGATGGCAAATCTTCCTGAAGAACGTGTGACACAAGCACCGCCCTTTACCTACACGGGTATGGACGTTTTCGGCCCATGGTATATTAAGGAAGGCCGAAAGGAATTGAAACGTTGGGGCATCGTCTTCACGTGCCTCTCATCCCGGGCGATACACCTTGAAACCTTGAACACTATGGAAACAAGTTCATTCATTAACGCGCTCAGAAGATTCATCAACAGAAGAGGCAAAGTGCGCCAACTAAGATCAGATCAAGGAAGCAACTTCATCGGAGGAAGAAACGAGCTCAATGCAGAGGTGAACACTGACACAGTGAAGAACTTCCTATTAACACAAGAATGCGACTTCATCGAGTTCAAGATGAATTTCCCCAGCTCCTCACACATGGGAGGTGTGTGGGAACGCATGATACGAACAGTACGCTCCTCTCTATCTGGCCTCCTCGAAGATCAGTCAACGCAGCTAGACGACGAAGGGTTACGTACTCTCTTCACTGAAGCCGAAAACCTCGTGAACAGCCGCCCGCTGACCACCGACAGCTTGTCAGACCCACAAGCACCTGAGCCGATCACACCAAATCACTTGCTCACTCTGAAGACGAAGGCAGTACTACCTCCGCCTGGCAACTTCTCTCGACTAGATCTGTACACCAGAAAGAGATGGCGCAGAGTTCAATTCTTGGCTGACCAATTCTGGCTCCGATGGCAAAGAGAATATTGTCTACAGCAGCAAAAGCGTCAGAAGTGGAACAAGACCGTCCCTAACGTCCAAGTTGATGATATTGTTCTGATTTGCGAAGATTCTTCCCCAAGAAATGAATGGCCTCTCGCCAGAGTCACCCAAGTCTATCCCAGTGATGACGGACTCGTTCGCAAAGTCTCCCTCTTCTATACTGAATCCGGAAATAAG